ACTGGCGAAGGGCAGCGACGCAAGGCAGCCCCTTTTCGACGTCGCGGAGGACGGCAGGCCACCAAAGGACACCGTTGGCAGAGTGTTCCATGACGCCGACCATTGCCAACCGGAGATGTCCGTCCACGGGCCGCCAGGAACAGCAATGGACCAGCCGCGTCGAAGATTGTCATCGAGAGAGCTGCCGTCGACGCCCCGATTCTTCCAGATGCTCGACCTCCAAGGGACCTCGGGAGGTCCCTTGGGGAACGCGTCGAAATGGCTGTAGTCCAGGAATCCCCGAGGAATCCCCGAGGAATCCCCGAGGAAATGTTTTCACATTTTTTTTTCGTTTTCTTCCCCGAGGATAAGTGGAACGATGATTTCCTCGGGGATTTTACGCGCCCGAGGAGTGTCGAACGAGCCCCTGTTTCATCGCAGTTTCTTTTTTTTTCCACACAAAACCAACCATCCCATTATATGCCGGAACCAGGGTCCGACGTCCCTTACATTTATGCCACGGTTCACCCAGTTCAGGCGGCTCAACAATATATACATCTATATGATTATATTTAATATATCTATATGAATGTATATATGGGTCTCTCTCCACTACTCTAGTCGAGTCCAGCTAGAGCTCTTAGAGCCCAGAAACTCACAAAATTTCCACCTTCGCTCCACTTACTCTTGAAGACAGGACTTTGTGACACAGTGTTGGAGTACACTATTCCACATCACTACCCTTCAACCAACGGTTTGTTGTGGGCCACAATTCCTGCTCTATTCAAGAGAACGAGTCTGCCACAATTCCCGCTCCACTCAGGAAAACGAGGCCACACCATCGGCAGGGCAGGCCACTCTAGAAAATTGGGGAGTTGCAGGCTGAGTGCTTTCTGACAACTCTTGAGGGGTATTGTTGTGAGTCCCCTTCGAGAGTAGGTGGAGCGTGTGGTCACTCTCTAATTTCTGGAGTCTAGAGCAGTGGAGCGGCTGAAGCGAGATGCAATATGGGCCTCACTCACCCACTCTCTATTTGTAACCAAGATCAAGAGTGCATCGAGAGTTAGTTGTCAGAGTCTCGAATATGGTGATGCCTGGACCCCACTGCGGTGGGGAAAGTTTTGCAAAAGTTTTTTTTTTCTGAGATTCCACTCCGTGCAGGAAGTTCGAGCAAGCTATTGCAGTTTTGGTTCTACTCCTTGCATATTTGCTTCTACTCTTCCTACCCTTCGCTTTCTCGACACTCCACCCAATCCCAGTGCCTCCTTTAGGCAAAGGTTTGGCTCAACCGAGAGAGTGGAGAGAGTAGAGTAGCCCCCTCCCCCTACTCTCTTCGTTGAGCCATGATGAGCATTGATGACATTGTGTGAAAAGGAGGGACTGGGATTGGATGGAGCGCAATAAAAGAAGAAGGAAAGACGTGCCTTTTTGGGCAAGTTTTCCTGATCCTGTAAGTTAACCAGGAAGCTAGGAAGAGCCCAAAAGTTGTTGTGGAGGTGTAGTCCAATTTCTCTTTCCCGTTCCCTTAGAGATGGGGTGAGGCGTGTCCATTTTCTCTTTCCCGTTCCTCTAGGCTCCTATTTGTGCTTCTAGAGCATTTCCAGACTTTTCCAGCTTAGCCCTTTCTGTGGCATCCAGCCTGATCCTCAACAAAACGGCCTAAACAATGAATAATTTGAAAAAAAAGAGAGGGAGAGAGAGAGAGAGAGAGAGAGAGAGAGAGAGAGAGAGAGAGAGAGAGAGAGAGAGAGAGAGAAGAACTTGCCGTAAGCATGGCGCCTTGTCCACTCTAGACAATGTGCATGGGAAGCTGGACCCGTTTTCCAGCAGGTGCCCCTCCCCATAGTCCCCACCTATGGAGTGCCAGGCTTCAGGCTTTTAGTGGAAGGTGCCCATATCACCTCCACTCGCTAACCCATGCCTGTTCAGGGTGGCTGGGCCTGCTTTCCAGCAGGTGGTGGTCCCCACCAATAGACAAAGCCTCCCGGGGGCCAGAGTCCCACTAGCACCGTTGAGTTTCCTCAACGCCTGAATCTGGACGAGTTTATGGAGATGTGGGGTTGAGGAAACTCAACGGAATATCTGCATATATCCACAAACACAATCAGATTCGGGCTTTGAGAAAACTCAACGCGGCTAGTGGGACTTAGCCCCAGGGGCGTGGTCCCACTAGCAAAGAGGATCAGATCAAATGTCTGAATCTGGACAAGGTTATGTAGATGTGCAGGAAATCGAGATTGAACTGGCGTGGTCCCACTAGCAAAGAGGATCAGATCAAATGTCTGAATCTGGACAAGGTTATGTAGATGTGCAGGAAATCGAGATTGAACTG